CTAAAACAGACAGCTGTGCTGAGGAACCGATTAAAAAAAAAAAAAAATCCTTGGAGACCTCTGGAATCCCAGAGTAGCTTTACAGTTTGGGGTGGGGAGGAAGGCCCCACTATTTTAGTTAATCCACTAAAATAACTTAATTGGCTGGTGGCAGCAGTCAGTGTTGCATAATACTTGTAAATAGTAGGACTTGGCTTAAGCACTGGAGCAAGAGAAGAAATTCTGAAGTCCAGCGCTGGTGGTGAAATATTGAGGTACCAAGAAAACAACTGAATTTTGGAAGTGCTGTCATGGGTGGTAAGTTCAGGGATGAAGTCTGAATGTCATCCTTGCTATTGGGCTGAATGCTCTGAGCCAGGCTCATCAGCAAAGCCTCAGCACCGTCAGCGTGGCTCATGGGAGCCAGAGGTTGGAACTGAGCTTAATAAATGTGGCTGCTCGTAGGAGGGACTGTGGCAGCCTGTGGTTTACCGGGGTGACAACAGCTGCTTTGTGCAGCGCCCAGGAGCCGCGCGGCCCGCGGGGAGCTGCGCTGCAGCCAGGCAGCCGCGCAGCGGCACTGCAGGCCAGCACGCGAGGGGACCGACCCGGCTGTCCCGCGTCACCCCCAAATCCGGCGTGCTGCTGCCTCCAGAAACACCGTTGTTTCAGATCCCCTGTCCCCAGAGCCTAACGTTGCCTATTAGCTGTTTACATGGCAGTTATCGCTTCAAAAGCTTCAATACCAGACCCACTCGGAGCAGTGCTGGGAGCAGTGAAGCTCCTCAGTTTGCTTGGATGCTGCTCGCTATAAATGAACTCAGTTTTAAATGGTGAGGAAAGGCTGGGTCTGGATCGTTTGGCATTACAGGGGAGAAGTTTTGTGCTGCTTACAAGCACAAAAATGGCTTATTGAGCCTCTTTGCTCCTTGTTGGGGGAAATATTGCCCTTACTTGCTTGAACCTGGTCTGCTGAGCTATGTGTGCCTGGCAGAGGCAGGCAGGTTGGTTTAACCCAACGTGTCTGGGCTTGAGGTGCTGAACAAACAGGCTAATACTTCCTTGCACGGAGACAGCAGGTACCAAACTCAATGGGACATGCTGATCTCACATCTGCTGCCTTAATGCATTTACATGCTGCTTTCGTAATTTTTTTTTTTTTCCCTGGTAATGCCTAATGAGGGCTGCCTGGGGGTCTTATCCCCCTTGGCCAGCTGATTTCAGCCGCTCCGGGCTCTGCGAAGCACACGGCAGCTGTCGGTTCATTTAGGGAAGGGAGGAGAGCAAACATAGGATGTGTCCCCCACCCCCGCTCTTCCCTGTGGATTTTCCGTTTGGATTGGCAGATGCAAGGCAGGGGCAGGGACTGGCGGGGAGAGCTTGTGTGCTGAGGCAAGTGGCTGCAGGGTATTTGCACATCAAAAGCAGCTCTGCCTGCTGCCCCTGTGGCTTGATTTAATTGCTCTTTCGCGGCCGTGGCTTGATTTAATTGCTCTTTCGAGGCAGCTCTGGTCTCTCTCTGCAGAGATTTGAGGTGTGATGCAGCCCCCCAAACGCACGCAGTCGCCCTGGTGCGTTAGGATGCAAATTGATTTTCCCCATCTCGAAGCTCATTTGTGTCGCTTGATTAGTGTAACAGCTCCCCTCCTGTTCGAGGTCTGTTAGCAGCAGGGCAGCTGCAGAAGGGGCTCAACGCAGAGCGAAGATGAAGCGGGACCCCCGGCCAGAGCATCAGCCCTATGGGTGCTGCTCTGTGGGTGCCACGTCACCTTAGGGAGCTGTGCCCCACGTTCTGCTCCTCGTGCTCCAGAGCCCTGCCAAGGACAGGCAAAGCTCTGTAATGCTGAGGACTGAATTTTTCCTGCCTGAAGCAGAGCGTGCCCTGAGCTCCACCTGCTTAGGGACACAGCTTCTCCTGCCCATTAGCTTCTTCATTAGCCTCTTCATGGGTTAATTTGGCAATTACAGATCTCTGCTCCCTCCAGCTCCTCCTGCTTTCTGCGTGGCCCCTGCTGCTTGTGCTGTTACTCGTTGTGCTGTTACTCGTTCCCTCCTCGAGTGGCCTCTCTAATTGCCCGTTAGCTCGTTACAGTGAGGCTGTCCCGAGAGCCCTTGAGCCCTCCTTGAGGGCCCTGCTCCAGGGCTGGCTCTTGTCCTGCGAGCCGCCTCCTCACATCTAACCAGGGGCAAGTGGGATGTTTGCCCCGAGCAAAAGCAATGAGCAGGTGAAGAGGGCTTTAAAAAGGGATTAAAAAGCCGCTGTGTTTTGGCGCAAAATGAGCGGATAGCCCCTAAGGGATGCGGTGCTCTGCTTGTGAGACCAGCACGGCCATGGTGAGTTCCCCTGCACTGCCGCCTCGTTGTGTCCCCCTATTTCGGCTGTTCCTGTCTCGGGGACGCTCCTTCTGCTACCTCAGGATAACAGGCAGACCAAGGGGCTTTCTTGTCCTTCCTTGTCCTCATCCGAACACCCGTGCAGCCTCGGGAAAAGCTGAGCAGGGCTCGGCCGAGCAGGTGGCTGCAGAAAAGCAGCCGAGTGGAGGTGACAGCCAGAGGTATTTTGTAACAGAAGGTGCGCTGAGAAAGAGAGAGAGATCTGGCACGTGGTTTTCTATCTCTTTCCTCCTCAGCAGCTTTCAAAGGCTCTAAAAATAAACCTCCCTCGTGCCTCAGGCAGCGTGAGCAGAGCCAAGACTTCCCTGGAAAGCGTCGGCAGGAGCAGGTACCCGCTGCTTGCTCCTCGCTGTGCGGGGGGAGCCGGGGCCCTGGGGGCTGGGATGGTTTGCAGGGATGCAGCGTTCCCCTTGGAGCGCTCCTCGTGTTCTCCACCCTGTTCCTCAGCTTTCTCCCTTGAACAGGGCAGCCTGGGAGCTGCCTCCATGTGCCGCTAGCAATGGATCGTGGCGAGAAAATTGTCCCGTTGCTTTTTTTTGGTGCTTGGAATACAAATTGCTTCACTTGTCCTTTCTTAGGCAGGTGCTGAAATCCCGATTGCCTCTCATTGGAGAGAAGGGTTTAGGAGCAGGGTGCAGGGGCCAGGCTGGAGCTGAGGGCTGTGAGGATGCTCCCACATCCGTGCAGTGCAAATGGGTGCTGGGCACCTCTGTGTTTGGCAGGGGGTGCTGCCTGTTTAACAGTCAAAGCAGGTCCCAAGCTTTTGTGAGGACGTTTCCGCTGTGGCGGCCCCTCCGTATCTGTTTTCCATGCTGCGCTCGGCTGTCGGGGCCGGGGGAACAGGGGGTGAAGAGGGGGGCCTGCGCTAACAAGGGCTCTGCGGAGCCGGGCGGCGCCGTGCCGCGAGCCAGGCCCGTTGCCTCCCTTTCTGCCACCCTCTCGGAGCCGCCGCGCTTGCCGGGCCTGGCTTAGCCCGGCTGCACGGCCGAGATAACGGGGCTGGGGAACCGCGTCCCCCCAGGGACCTTGGCTCATGGGCAGCGCAGGCGCGTGGGGCTGCTGCGCAGGGCAGCGACGGGAGGCCCAGGGCATGGAAGAGGCGTCCTGTTTTGGCTGCTTTTATGTGTTTTTGGGGTGTTTCCGCTGCTCGCGACCAGTGGCACTGTGCAGTGGCAGATGGCGACAGGCTGAGGGGGCCCCCGGGCCTCTGTGTGGGCCCCCCCCCGGGCCTCTGTGCGCAGCTGGCCCTGGGATGGGATAGATGGATGGAATGGCCTGGAGGGGCATCCTCAAAAGCAGAGGGAGGTGAATCGAGGGGTGCTTGAGGGGCAGCATCTGCCACAGGCCATGACCATGAGCAGAGGCTGAAAGAGCCAAAAACTGGGGTGTCCCAGGGCCCTGGCACTTGCGTTTAGGGCACAAGCCAAATGCAGAGACTCCTGGCTGCAGCCGCAGTCCCTGGGGAGGTGACGCCAGGGTCCTAGCTCCTTATAGCTCATACCGCTCCCAGAGCGCAAAGTAACTTTTAAAAAATTTATTTATATATAAAAACATAAAATTACCAGTAGTTTGCATGAGTCACCAGAAGTAACATCCAAAAAAACCTGCAGAAAAATAATGATATCCACGGGCTGAGCCCCGTGCTCGGCGGCGCGGGGCAGGGCAGCCGTCGCTCACACCAAGGAACGACACGTGTGCGGGGCGCACGGGCAAACACAGCGCGGTGCAAAGGCGGCGCGGTCGCGGCGCCGCTCGATCACGTCGTGCGGCGCTCGTCGGGGAGGATTCGTAGCCGGCGCTATGGGGAAGTCGCGCGGGGAGCCTCTGAGGGCGCCGGAGCCGAGGGCACCGGCTTCCCGGGCAAGGCGGGAACAGGAGCGGAAAGCCTGGGAAGGCTGATGCCCGTGAGGAGCTGTGGAAAAGGGGCAGGCAGGAAGAGCTCTGCTCCCTTCTGGGTCTCTGGCTTGTTGGGCACTTAGAGCTTCCAGTGACTGTGTGTGAGCACAGGACAGGGAGCGGGTATAAAACCACTCGGGGCAGGTCTATGGCTTGGATGATGCAGAAAATCCCTTCTGGCCTCTCAAGGCAGAGCTGACTTGATGCAGCTTCTCCCTGGGGTGCTGGAGAGCTGTTTGCCTCCAAAAAGCAGCAGGTTTTGGTCCTCTAAAAGTAGCCGGTTTTGGCAAAGACTGAGGCTGCTTCCCCACCCTGTGGCTTGCAGGAAAAGGGACCGGAACAAACCTGCCCTGGAGCCGCGGGGCCGGAAACTGTGTGGGAGCCGATGGCTCTGGGCTGCTGCTGCCTGGCTAGGGATGCGCGGCCAGGAATTGCCCGTGGAGCGGGGCACAGAAGGCACAGAGTGTTTTCCAGGTTGGCCAAGCCGCGAGGCGCCGGGAAGGGGCTGCTCCAGGGTCTCCGGCCAGTGCAGACCCCGCTGGGACAGCCGCTGCTTTTTCTTCCCTTGCCCATGCCTGGAGACCGTTTAGAAGAGTGAGGGCAGAAAGCAGCAAGGGGGATTTTCTCTTCCGGGCTCCCGTCATCAGCGGTGACGGGAGCCCGTGGGCGGAATGGCACGGGAGGAAGCACGGCCGGCAGTTTGATGGGCGAGTGTGTGGGAGGGAGGCATGGCACGGACGGGTGCGCATGCGGGGCTGCTTTTGGGGCCAAAAAAAATGATTTCCCTCTTGATTTTTCCAGGGCTGCCCGCAATCTCTGCTAATCCTTAAATCTAGTTAGCAGCTGAAGAATAGGGAGGTAAAGTCCTCCTGAGCCAGGAGGCCGTGGATATACAGTGTGGTGCATGGCCTGGCCACTATATATATAATATATGTATATGTGGTGCCTGGCCTGGCAGGAGGGAAGTGCTGGTAGGTGGTGGGTGCGGGATGGGAAGCCTGCTCCGTGGGCTGGGATCGCTAGTGCAAGGCAGTTCCGGCACGGCCGATTTGCAGGAAGGAGGCAGGAACCTGCTGGCAGGAGTGACTGTTGTGCTTAACTGAAAGGAGCAGAGCCTACGATTTTGGTTGCTGCACTCGGAAAAGATGAGGAGAGATGGAAAGTGATCAATTGGGGGTTTTCTAAGAGAAAAAAACTGCTGATTTGTGGCTGCTTACATTCCTGCTGCTCAACTTCATGAGGCTGAAAGGAGTTTGTTTCCCAAGAGGCACCTTTTTGAAACCCCGGCCTCTTTTAAGGTATCTTGGGGTGATCTCTTAATAGTCACTTGTCCTTTTAGAAGATGGTGCTTTCCAGTGGTTTGCACTGGGAGGAAAAATGATGAGTCAACCTTATAAATCTAAGGTTGCTCCCTCTCCATAGTCTTGGGTTAGTGTGTGTGCACGTGGGGTAATTCCTGAGGCACTCTAGGACAGTGGAAGGGATGAAGAAGCAGAGCGGGATGTTTTGCCTGGTCAGTGGCATGGTACGAATCCTCTTGCTCCTTACGGGCTGGTTCCTTGGCTACAACTGTTCTCTGGAAGTCAAAATCAGCTGGAGAAAGAGCAATAAGTGGCAGAGCAGCTTGGTGTTTTCTCCGGGCTGTGGGCCAGGGACCAGTGGTGGAAGCGTGGTGTTGGTTATGTCTTCTTGAACAAGGTAGGAGGAGCTGTGGCCAGAGCTGTGCTACTCATAGGCCCTCTCTGAACCAGCGTTCATCGCTCTGGAATTCATCCCGTGGGGAGAGTTCACCCTAGGGCGTTTTGCATCATCTCCTAACCTGATAGGATTTTGGTTTTGCTCAAGTCCTGTTCCCTTATTGCCCTTGTCTCTGGCTTCTCAATCCTTACAAACAAGCAGAAGGCATCTGCTGAGGAGGCACTGGACACGAGGGGCAGGTGCTGGGCACGTCACCATTGGCACGAATTGCTTGTTCACCTCTGGAACACGACAGGCAGCGTAGGGCACCGCCATGGCGCAACACGGGGAAGGCAGAAGGGCTCACCAGCTCAGCTAATAAACACATCTGAACTGTACAGGGGGCACCCAGCTCGGGCTGAGCTGCAAGGAAGGGCTTCACGCCTGGAGGAGCCCTCCGTCCGCGAGGAGGAGAGGGGAGCCCGCCTCAGATCTCGGTGGCGATGATGTCTTCATAGGGCACATCGGCACCGGGTATGTCCAGCGCGATGGGCTCCTTGCCATCCTCCCCCGAGGCGAGCTGCTGGAGCATCTTCTCCAGGTTCTGGTTCCTCTTGTACATGTGCAGGTAGCTCTGCTGCAGCTGCTTCTGGTAGTGAATCACCTTCTCCTTTTCTTCCTTCCACGTCTGCCGCTCGTGCTCGAAGCCGGACGTCATCTGCTCGTTGTTGTCCCGCTCAGCCTTCAGCTCTGCCTTGAGCCTCTCCACCTCTCCCTGCAGGACCTGCACATTGTCCACCATGCCCAGGGCCGGGCTGGCGGCAGACGTGGCCCTGTCCCAGCCCTCCTTCAGCTGCTCCTTGAGGATGGAGAGCTCCGTTCGGAGGTCCACGATCTCTTGCTCCAGCAGGTTAACCTTCTCTCTCAGGAGTTCGGACTCATTCTTCTTGCGCTGAAGCTCATTTTCACACACCTCCAACTCCATGGCCTTGGTGTGCAGAGAGTCCTCCAGGTCCCGAGTTTTCATCTCCAGCCCTTCCATCTTAGCCCTCACCTCCTTCAGTTGAGCTTTCAGGCCAAGGATCTCCGCGGTCTTGGTGTTGAGCTCAGTCTGGGATTCCTTCAGCTGCTGCTTCAAGAGGGAAATTTCACCGGACTTCTGGCACACCTGCAGGGAGGGACACAGCGCCCGCGGTTAGGGCTGAAACACACCACCGTGCGCAGGCAGCGGCAAAACCCGCCGCGCAGCCCCGTCGAGCCGGGCGAGCACAGCCAGGCCTCGGGGCTGCACGGAGCCTGGCTGGGAAAACGGCTCTGGCTGCAGCTTTTTTTTTTTGCGGCAGTAAAGGCAGCTTTACTGCTCCTTTGCAGCAGCCGGCACACGAGGCTGGAAATGGTATTTAATGACTGGCTTTTTTCCTCTCTGCAGCAGTTGTTTCCTTACGATGGGAGGTGCTGAGCTGAGCGGTAGCGAGCCGCGGGCTAGTGGCAGCTCGGAGGCCCCGCGTGCCGGCTGAGCTCCCGTGGCTCGCACCGCTCCGTGCTCCGCAGCCGGTGCGCGGTGCTGCGCGCCCTGCTCACGCTGCGCCCGCTGCAGCCGCACAAATGCAGCCGCACAAATGCAGCCGCACAAATGCAGCCGGGCTGTAGGGCTTTACGCAGGGCTCGCGCTGCTGCCCCGTTCCACGCAGGAACCCTTTGCAAGTGCTGGTGTTCGCAGCCGCTGAGACTGCGCTCTGGCGTGCTCGGTTGCCGCTTACCTCCCACTGAGTCTCCTCCAGTGCCGGAGCAAAACTAGTCTTCTCCTTCTCATAGGACCGCAGCTTGGTCTCCAGCAGGTTTTGCTCTTTCATGAGGTTTTCCAGCTCCTCGCGGAGCTGCTTCTTCTCCTGCTGCAGCTGGAACACCTGGAGGTGAAGGACTTGCTGCGTCCGCTGGGTTTTCTGTGAGGTCTGCTTTAGCTTGCTGCTGCATTTCTGCTTGAGGCCCTCCAGCTCTTCCTTGCAACGCCTCTGCTTCTCTTCATAAACCTGGCAGGAGGTGACTTCTTTCTCCTCAAAGCTGGACTGAAGCTCCTGCAGCTCTCCCTCCCTCTCTAGCAGCATTTGTTCCAGCTCCTGGATGGTGGACTCGTCTGTGGAGATGGGCGAGCGGATGCAAGTGGTCTTCTCTGAGGCATGGTGTGCTTTGCCAGGGTTGATGATCTTGTTGCCCCCGTCAGAGAAGGACATGGCCTTCAGGCTCATCATGTTGCTGTCTTGGATGACCGCGCACTGCGTGATGTTGTGGGCTGAGCCCCCAAAGCGGCTGGCGGGTCCCGTGGGGGTGACCAGCGGGTCCAGCTGGTAGCTGCTGCTGGTGCTGTGGGTCGGGAGGCTGGACATGGAGTTCCTGCCGGAGTCGGAGAGCCCCCCGGAGCACAAGGCTGGCTTGAGCTCTTGCTCCTTGGCCTTGTCCGGCGCGAGCAGCTGCTGGGAGATGTGGCTGCCGTCCTCCGGGGAGGAGTGCAGGATGGCGCTGGAGCGGGGCAGCACCGGCTTGAAGGCTGTCGGCCTCGCAGCACTCTTCTCTGCACTCTGGGGACGAGAGAGCAGCCAGTGAGCACCAAAGACCCGCGCCGCTTAGACTGCCCGAATCCGAACACGCGTGGCTGGAACCGCAAGTGTGGGGACTACATTGTCGGCCCAAAGCCCAAAGGGAATGGTGGCGGGATCCCTCGGCACCTCCCCGCTGCCCGTCTTCTCCCGCTTCCCTGGCACCAGCCCTTGTCTTGGAGCCTCCTCCCGCGGCAGAGGCCGGGATAGTCCTGGCAGTGGGATCTGCGCCCCCGCCACGACAAGGGGCGTCGTGGTGGACCTCGGCCCCAAGCAGTCCCTGCGGGCCAGGGAGATGTGGGCCCCGCGGGTGTGCGGCACGTGCCTCCCCTACTAACCAGTTCCAGCGGATTTGGGAAGGACATCAGTTTCTGAGGGGTGGGCGTCCCGAAGTCCAAGCTGCTCGACCCGGCCTGGCCGCCCGGCTCCCCACTAGCGAGCGCCGTGTAGTCCGCCCGCTGTGAGCCGGGCGTTTTCTGGCTGACCTTGATGTAAAAGAAGTCCTCATTCCTGCTGCTCTTGGAGCCGGACTTGTGGCCGGAGTCGTGCGAGAAGCCGAAGCGGAGCAGCCCGTCCGAGTACCTGTTGAGCTTCTTCAGGTGGGCCGACTTGCGCAGGCGGCACTGGGAGGCTCGGCAGTGCTTGCCGTGGAAGCCGTGGCCGGAGATGAGGCTGCTGACGCTCCCCATGCCGCTGCTGGCGCGGCGGCGGCTGCGCTCATAGCAGAGCCCTCCTGGCGCCGGGAGCCGCGGGCCTGCGGGGCAGAGAGCGCGGGATCAGGGAAAGGCCCTTTGGGGTGCAGGGCGGCAGGCAGGCAGCGCGGGGGAGCACCGGCTTCTCCGGCGCCTCCGTGGCACTGTTCCCAGCATTGCCGCTCCGTGGGGAAGGCACCTTGAGCCCAAAGCGCCCTTGGGTGCATCTTGGTGCATGCACGAGGGAGGGCAGGTAGGGTTGCATGACTCCCGAGGAACCTGAGCTGTTGCCTTAATTAAAAATAAGGATGGGAGGAACATTTTGGGGTTTTTTGAGTGTGTTTGAGTGCTGAACAGGGAGTAGGCACAAATTCCAGCAAGTGCCTGTGCTCCTGCCGTGCCCGTGGCTCTGGCTGTCACACTGTCAGCTGCCTCAGCCTCTCCTGCACCACCCTGTCCTTGCCCGACTTCGCTCCAGTCTTCATTGCTGCTCTTAACCCCCCTGGAAAGGGAGGCTGCGGGGCTTAATTGCGCTTAATGGCTGTGCAGCACTTCGGGAGACATGAAAAGGCATAAAGCATGTGCTAAGGACTGTGATTATGGCTCAGAGGTATGTGGTGCTCTCTGTTAATTCTCTGCTTAGCGGGGCGTAGGGGAAGGCAGCCCAGCTCTTCACGGGCACCCCGTGGCAGGGTTATAATGGAGATGCCCCTTCCATCCAGATAATTAAGGGGTGAGGTGGGGAGAAGGGGGAAGAGCTGCTGGGAGGCAGAAATTGGAGCATACTCAAAAAGGAGCTAAATCCAGATTGCACAGGAAGATGAGAGAGAAAGGGGAATTGTTCGGCGGCTGAGTCACTTTCGGAGCGTGAATAATCGGAAACATCTCTGCTCTCTGCTGCTTGCAAAACAGCTAGAAAAGCTCCCATTCTGCAGGGCCCCAGCTCTCCTCCTCGCATGCGCGCTGTTATCTCCAGTATCTCTGATATCTCTGTTATCTCCAACAGAGCATGGAGGGATGCGCAGGGGCAAAAAAGCTCTTGTCAGGATGGGGAAGGGAAGGGATGGGCAGGAGCAGGGAGCTGGAGGAAGCCCCTGGCTCCGCCGCAGCCTGGCCCCCTTTGCAGTGCGCTGCCCTCCGCGTTTCACCGGTCCAGCTCAGACACAGCCCCTTTCAGACCCGCTCCGGAGGGCTTTGCCCGACACTGCTCAAATGCACCCTGCAAAGGTTCTTTTCTCTTTGCCCCGAGGCCCTTTGATTAAGTGTCAAAGAAAAGTCAGAATATTGACTTCAATCCCTCAATCCATTCGGCTTCATTCCTTTTCACAGGAGAAGGGAGGAAGAGCTGCAGAGAGCCAGATCACGGGCACCACTGGCGGCCCCACGCTTGCGAGCACGTGCCCGCGAAAGAAAGGCAGCGTCATGGAATAAAAGCTGCCAAGCTTCGACATGTGAGAGCAGGAGCGAGGAAAGCAGGTATTATAGTTACATGCCTCGGGAAGCTTCGTCCTTAAAACAGGTAGTGGCCACGAGCAGATGCGGCTTGGAAGAGCCAGACCCTGTGGCAGGGGGTGGGGATGTGGCCAGGGCAGCAGCCAGGCCCTTTATCCAGATGCTCCCGGGGTTCCTTGGGTGCTGCAGAAGCTGGGAGAAAGGCAGGCGGGAGCAAGCTGGGCCTCTGCAGCCTCCTGGCAGGAGGCGTTGGGATGAGCCCCAGCCCTCCCGCGCACGCCTCCGAGGGTTGGGTTCCGCCTTTGCATTTCTTCTTCCTCCTCTGGATTTCCAAAGGAGCGTTCTGGAAGTCGCGGGGGAGTTGGCACTGGCTGCGCAGCAAGGGCAGAAGGGGAAGGGCTCTGAAGGCAGCCAGGCTGCCGGCAGGTCGGGGCCAAGAAAGCAAACCAGGCACTGGGGAGCGAGTGGAGGGCTCGGGCTTGTGCTGCCCTTTCAGGGCATCTCCAAACAGAGCGGCTGACTTGTCTCCCTCCCCTTGTACCAGGCCCATTGCTGCAGGCATCTCTGGCCCAAAGCCCTTCCAAAGGTTCCGTTTTCCACGCAATTTCCATTCCCTCTGCTCCTGGCTGTGCCTGGTTCTTGGTGTTCAATGCGATTACTCCAAAGCGTGATTTGCCCTGTCACTCACCAATTACCAAGGACAGAAAGCCAGAAAAGACACACGCCTCTCCCTCCTGCTCTGCCGCCTCTGCGGAATTAGCCCCTCAATTGCTCCTTTGTAGGAGCCAGTGGCAGAGAGGGGAACGAGGGCAGCCGCAGGGCCCCAACCTGCACGTGCTGCAGTGCGGGACGTGCTGGGGGGCGAGGGACGGCACTGGGACGTGGTGCTTGGAGGCAGGGAGCTGTGGAGCCCTGGATTAAATAGCCCTGAAAAAAATCCCACGAGGTGGAGGGGTAACCGCCACCCATGGGGTTTGCTCTTTGGGGCTATTTGGAGCACGCACAGCACCTAACAGCAGCACCCCTTGCTTTCAGGTGGATTACACACGATGCAAGAGAAAAAGCTGCAGCCTAAGGGCGGGATGGGCCCCTCGCTGGTGCTGAGAGGCCCAGGGATCCTGCAGGAATCATGCAGTTTGGGGCAGTTTGCCAATAAACGCCCATGCAGACATGCCTGGACCTGGAGGATCAGGTAGGAAAGCACAGACGGTCCCACTCTTGCAGAAGCAGGGGAGAAAAAAAAAATGAATGGCATCCCACATTCCTTTCCAAAATCCAATCATGCCTATCCAGCAATTACATGCAGGCGAGACAACTTGCTCCCCGTCACCTCCTTTCCGAATGAGTTGCAGGAATTTAATCTTATCTCCTGCAGCACAGTTTCTTTGAAGCCTTGCCCTAAAATGCATCACCTTTTCTTTGCAAAGTTGCACGGGCATTTTGCTTTCTCCAGACAGAGCACCTTAGCAAAAAGTCTTCATTTCTGTCCAGGCTTCATAGTGTTACTCCCTCCCTGCTGATCCTGTTCTTCCTCCTTGGTATGTGACAGCTTCCCTCTCCTCTGCACTCTCTTGCCTACTCTTTTTCCTCCTTACTTTATTGTTCATCCTTTCTGTACAGATGCACCCACACATTTGGGTGTTTGTTGGGAGATGCACAGATAATACAGAAGCAGTACCAGCTGCCAAGAGCCTGGATCCAGGACAAGTCTCCTTCCTGTTTCTGTAGATCACTGTCAGGTGAGGTGCCCATGTTCTGTTCAATGATTTGGGTCTCTGAGACGCTAAAAAAAGGCAGTTTCAGAGTGAAAATGTGGTGTTTCCATGGTAAATAGCCATGCCTATCCTACCCAGAGGTTTTAATGAAGACATAGCCTGACCTAAAGCTTGGATCACAGCGATCCCACAAGCACCCAAGCTGTCTTTGGGGTTGGAAATGAAACCCAGGAGTAGTTGGTGCTGGTTTCTGGAAGAACTTGGCCCCCACATCCTCCACCCTGGCAAACCTTGGCCCAGGGAGCCTGAGTGACCCTGGCTCTGTGTGCACAGGCTCTCTGCTCAGATTCACAGGCTCATCGCGCTCGTCCTGCACCCAGCTGGACATGAGCTCTTAGAAACCTGCTCGTTTCAGTCTCCTAAAAAAAATAGCAGCAAATAGGTCTGGAGAGCCCCATCAGCGGGGCCGACCCCACCGCCTGCCTGAAACCCTCACCCTTATTACACTAAGGAGAATGAATCCAAAGGGCGCCCAGGCAGGCGCCGTGCTCTCCTCGTGGTGCGCAGTTGTGGCGCAGCGCCGGCCAAGGGCCCCTTACAAGGCTTTCATTCACTCCAATTCATTGTCCCCCGTTCATTCATTGACATTCATGGGGATCGTTTTGATGGGAGGCAGTGGCTGAGCTGAGCGCAGGCTTCACAAAGCGCGCACCATGTGTTCTGCCCTGATTCCCCATTAGTGGAGGGGGACCCTCCAGCTGAAGAATAACCAGCCTCAATTACATGTTGCGGCCACTCTAATAGCCCAGGAGTCCATCACACTTAATGTTATTTCAATGAACACTAAGAGAATTCACACCCCCTGGCTGAGGCTTGTTAGCAGAGCCAGGCCTGGCTTTGGCGCTGATTTTGGTGGGCTTAATGCCAGGGCAGCAGCAGCAGATTGTGCTGTGTCTCTGCCCGTGTCCCCGGCAGCTGGGCTCTTACGGGATGCCCAGTGTTACTACCGCAGGCTCTGGAGAGGAAGATGAACTTCTCAGGCAGGAAGAAAAGTCAAGAAAAGGGAATCTCCATCAGTTTGGAAAGCTGTCCCCAGCATAGAGCACTGTCTTTTAGCACCAAGCTTGGGCTGTAGAACTCATCAGCTGCTTAAAGAGCCCTCCTGGAAAAGCCAGAAGCCGCTGCTGAATGTGGTATCAGCTTTAGGAAGCGCCTTGAGGAAGCTGCACACACGTGCACCCCGTTCTTGCAAGGTACCCTGCGATTCGGACACCGGCCTTAGCCTGGCCGCAGATTATCCCCGAGGGACTGCATCCAGCATCTGGCGTCCTTGGAAGCAGGGACTGCGAGGCTGCCTGCTGGCGACAGTAGGGCCATAATTCAGCAGGGACACATCCTGCAGCTTCTCAAAGGTTTGCACGGGAATGTGCTGCATAAGCCCTCTGATAAAAAAGAAAGCAAGTGGCTTTAATGGGAGAGCAGGGTAAAACTGTCAGGGCGATGATAGAGCTGGCACTGAGGCTGTCGGATTAAGTCATGTTTGGGGAAGCCAGTGCTACAGCAAGAGGAATGCCTCAAATTAACGATGAATCACATTGGCAGGGTGAGTTTGAGAGGATCTCAGCTCCGCACCCGCTGCACTGAGCTGGTGTCTCTGCCATGCGATCCCTCCGTGGGGCTCCCTCCGTGGGGCTCCCCTGCGCAGGGCCTTGCTCCTGCAGCGGGAGGACCGGCCTCGAGGGCTGCACAGTCTCTAGGAGGCCGGTGGCAGTCACCAAAGTCTCGTCCCTCCAGATGCCTGCACTTCTGCAGCGCCTTGTGCTTTCTCACCAGCAAATGCTTACTGGACACTTAGCCTGAGCACAGACTAATAACACAGGCAAATACGTGAGGCTAGAGAAAGTGGGGTATTGTTCTCCCTGTTTCCCTAGCCTGAGAGGCACTTAGAAATGAGACAAACCAGGAATGCTTGGGGCTGGTGACTAAAAAGCCCTAGCCTTGGCTAGCAGGCATTTGTTTCCAGGAAAAAAGGGGGGAAAAAAAAAAGTGTTTGCCTTGGCAGCCTGCAAGGAGTTTGGCATCTGTTAAAGCCCTCCAGAAAGTCATGAGATGAGCAGAGGGACCTGTTTGGATAGGGCTGGCCTGGGGGCTGTGTAATTGATTTTCAGGGAAGCAGCAGCTGAGCCCCAGCGAAGAGGTGGATGAGCAGGAAAGCCAGGTCCTTGACATGCCCATGGCACAGGCGGCTCTGGGTGGCCTGTGCTGGCCACGTGTCCGGGGGTAACTGGAGAAGCAGACGGTCCTGCCCTTGCCTGTGTAGAGTGAAAGCACTGCTTGCACTGACCTCCAAGGGACAGCGCTGCTTGCAGAGCCAATATGTGTTTCTGCATGCAGAATGGAGTGATTTTCAGTGCTGAAATGCCTCTGCTCTCTCCAGCACAGCCGCAGTTATTACTAAAGAGCTCCCCATGTGCATGCATCCTTACAGCAGCGTTAGCAGGAGCTCAGCTCCCGCAGTCCCAGGGCCGTCCCTGCACCTTGCAGGTGGGGACACCAGGTCCTTCTGACCTCAAAGAGGGTGGCAATGTGTTCTGGAGAGTGCTCAGCCCCATGCAGCACACATGCTAGATGCAAACATAGCCGTGGCCAGGGAGTGTAGGAACATCCTCGACCGCTCTTGCAGCCTGATCCTCTACTTGACCTGTTGTGACCAAACCATCTTGATCTACAGCCTTCTTTATATTCCTTAAGACACACATTTCTGCAAATAACCCTGTCTTACCCGTGGCATCCCTAGCTACCCAATTCTCAGTTCAGAGCCCAAAAGCTTTCTTGCCCCATCTTCAGCGCCGCCTACAAAGCTTAGGGTTACAAGGCACTAAGTGACATTTTAATGGTGGGGAAACCTTTCCCAACCTTCCCCGAGCACGTGTGAAGCAATTCCACCTGTGTCCCCGAGACCTGCCCAGGCCAGCTCACAGCTTCAATCCCGCTTTGGCTGGGAGCTCACAGCATGTGGATTTTGGAGCTCGTTGCTGACTCAACGCCTTAGCACTCTGCCCACACAAGTCATATCAGTCATGCTCCCGATACAAAGGAAATGCCTGTATGAGCCAGAGTTAAATATTCCTGGGGTAGAGAGAAAGATCTTTTCAGCTTATTTAATTCCTAAGAGCATCTGGCCTTTCCCACTAATGAGCAACTAATGGTGCAACTAAAGCTGTGCTAATTGGAGACTCAGAAATCTTCTGCTCCTTGCTTTTGTCCTTGGCAGGTTTGCTGACTCTTTGGGGATCTGGAAGGCACCTCTGAATTGCAACAAGAGCTCACGATCCCCTCTGCCACCGGAGAAGAGCCACGAGCTCCCGAGTGCAGCGAATTCCCAGTCCTTCTGAACCTGGCACAACTGCCCAGAGCGGAACAGCCAGGCTGGTGCCAAGTGCCCTCCGCTCTGTGCCGCTGGCCACCTGCCCCTGGTAGCAATCCCACCTTTACCAGACGCCTGCAGGACTCATCTCTTGACAGGGCGAGTTTCTGGGAGAGGGTTTTGCAGCTGTGTGGTGCCGAAGAGCTGGCGCTCCGCTCCTTTCCAGCAAGGCCTTCGCAGGGACATCGGCGGCTGCTGCCTGTCCCGGGAAGGCTGGCATGGGCGGTGACCTCTTCTCTCAGGGGATGGTGAAGGAACCTCACATCTCCAGCACAGGAAAGCTATTTTGGGGCCTGGGACAGGCCAGGACTGGCAGCTGGTGCCCAGGTGGGCGACAGCTGAGCGGGGCTTACGCTTCAGATCCGCGAGGCCCCTTTTCATGCATCTATTTGTGACCTTACAAAACACAATCTGCCAGGGTGTGAGCACGCAGGGGGCATCCAGGAAAGAGGATTGCAAGGGGCTGGCTTGCCCGAGGCACTTGGCAGCTCAGCCCTCTGCATACCTCCTCGCAGGTTCCCCCAGACCATGGTTTGCCCTTTGATCCTGCTGTAGAGGAGAGCTGCACTCATGGCAATTTGGATAGTTTTATTAACACCTGTAGCTGCCGTAAATGGCCAAGCCAACAAGGCTTGCACCCCGTGCACCTCCAGGGCCAGTCTGCTGAGCAGAGTGAAGGATTTGCCTCTTCAGTTAAATATAGCATGAGCCTCATGTAGCTGGAGGTGACAATCCATTGTAAATCCATTTCCTCCCAGCTTTCTATTGCACCGTCATCCATGGGGCTTTTTCTCCCTTCTTCTACCCAGCCACCGACAGCGAACACAGCAGTGAAGGGCAGGGAACTGATTTCAGACCAGGTCATGACAAGATGGTTGCACCAAGGGTTTCTTCCACACACCAGTCCTTGCTCACTGCCAGGAAATACCTGCTCTAAGGTTTCATTTCCCACTGTAAAATTCTCCCCCAAATATACAGAGAAGCAGCCTCTTCACAAACGGGGAAAATTTAGAAGTGGAGCTGCGGGCTGCCATGGAGACAGGGCTCTGTTTGCAACCTCCCTGTCTCACGTTGTCTCTCCCCCTCTCCCAAGCAGCTGAAAAGCAGCCGGGAGCCGCTGAGCCTGAGCCCCGGCTCCATCACCTCCAACACTGCCAGGTGGGTGCTGGGGACCCACGGCCGGACCCACCTTCTCCAGCCTTGTGGCTTCCCCTCGCTGGTGGCAGGCAGGGACATGAGCACCCCAAGGCTGAGGAGGACGCCCCTCCAAAGGGAGAATTTGCTCTAGTAGGAGCGGAGCCCAGCACAGTGCGTGAGATGGGAGGGAGGAATGACAGGGAACAACTAGAGAGCAAGTGGAAGGAAAGAAAGAAAGTGATGTTAAATCATAGCTGGAAACCGTCTGCTGCAGGGGGAAGCTTTTGGTTGCTTTCCTTAAGCAAGAGGAGGGAAAATAAGTCTGATCTGGACATCCAGGGTAGCTGAAAACCCCGAATGTCCATCCCTAGCAGGAGACTGTGGCAGATGAAGAAACTGCTCCGGGGCAGGACCTACAGATGTTTCTACAAGCTGAACTTTGCCCTGTCAAGGCTGAACTCAGCAGCACGGCACCCGCGCTCCAAAATTAAGCTGTGCAGTTCACATCCGTACCCTCATCCCTGCTGGCGTGCTGGCAGTGCCAGTTTTCTTGTGATGTGTCTACATGCTAGGTATTTTTGTACCCTGGATGATGCTCAGCCAAGCGGGGGCTGAGAAAAGGCAACTGCTGCCTGTTGCTGGAGGTCTCGGTCCTCGCTGTGCAAAGGCCTCCATGGCGCTGCCTCCTCCTCCTCCTCCTCCTCCTCCTGCATTTCCCAGGTTCCTGTTACGTTCCCTCATCCCTGCCCTGCTCAACCGGCCTTGAGCGTGGCGCCACAGCAAGCAGGGGGGGAAGCAAGGCAAAAATCAATTCTTGCTTCCGATTTCCCTCCTCCTCTTTTATATCTTCTCCTCTCCCAAAGCTGCCCCATTGTGAAAACCACTCCTTTAATTCCTGGTTGCTAAATAGAGCGATTTTCTCAAAAGAGAAATGTACATTGAAGTTGCAAGGAATATTTGGTTAACATTTACACAAGATCACCCATAACTGGCTTACAGGGATGTCATTTAATTGTCTGAAAAATAAAATAAACACAGGCACGTTTCTGAGACTGAGCCCAGAGCGGATCCATTCTGGGCTTTGGTCCTGTCACCACCGATGTCTAGCTAAACAGAAATTAAAGATCAAAACCTTCTAAACTGATTTCCATGCTAAATTAGAGCCTACGACAAAGTTTTCTTTGCTTATGCAGTATGGCAAGTGGCCAAACGGATCCTGTCTGCATTTATGAACCCTCAATAAATTCCCCTTCCAATGAGCCCTTTGGAGGCTTCCTCTTTTGCACTAGAGCCAGAGGAGCATCCAGTCGCGGACCTGAGCAGCCCCGGTGCCTGCGGAGGGGAGATGCTCCTTTCTCCCGCAGCGAGCGGCCCAGGAGAGGAGCAACCCCAGGAAATCCTCACAATATTCCTGCTGGGAAGCGCAGCAGAGCGCTCGCACTGCTCCCCTCTGCTGGAGGGAGCTGCCTCGCACGGAGGCCTTAGGCGGCCGCGGAGGCCAAGGAGAAGCTCCCTCGGCCCCGGGGGAGCCTGCGTGTTGGAAGAAGGCCCCAGGCGGAGATCCAAGGAGGAAAGCAGTGTGGACTCGTATTCCCAGGAGCCATTCCGGTGCCGCTTGGATGTTTTCCCCCAGGTTTTGCCCTCTGAAGCCGAGGAATGGCCATTTGCACCCCGCTGACCCTGATCAGGACTTGTCCTGCCTTCGGGCTCCAGGGGCAGCCTGTTAGACGAGAGTCACCATGAAAAGCCCTCCTGCAAGGAGCCACGGAGGAAAGGCTTTTTGATCCACGTGCCAAGTCTTTGTGCATTCCCGGCTATTTTTAACTAATCCCCGGCGGCAGCCACGGTGCTGCGCAGCCCCCGCTGCTGGGCTCGTGCAGGAGGGCGCTGCGCTGCTCCCCGGAGCCTGCCTCGCGCCGCAGCTTCTGCCGAGGGGCTGCTGAGGCTCCGTGCCCTGGAGCAGCCTCCGGAGAAAACCGGGGCAGCCGGGGAAACCCCCAGCGCTTAGTACATCAGGTGCAGGGCGGGCTAGGAGCTCCCAGCCAACCCATGCAAAGAAATAGGGACAGAAATATTTGTAACCCCCTTAAAATCCCTAGTAGGGGGGACTAACAAAGCCACCGAGCTTCCCAGCAGTGTTAAGTTTTGGGGAAGTGCGGAGGGCGCTTCGCCAGGTCTTGGGGTTGGTCTCGCAAAGCAGCTCCAGGGGAACCTGGAAAGGGATCCTGCTGGACACAGGTCCCCAGTAGTGACAGGGCTGGTCTTTCCCCTGGTTCCTCTAGGTTCTTCTGCATTCGCTGCGGAATCTGCCTGAATCTCCTGTTAATTTTCCTCCCACTGCTCCACAGCACTGCCTGCCAGCAAGGAGTGACTAAAGGGTGGGTGGAAACCAAGGACTTGGGACCAATTTAGCAGCCTGTGGCACCAGGAGGAGGGGAGCACCAGGGAGCAGGGAAGCACGGGCACAGCTGGCGCTTGTGGCTGACCAGAGGCTGGGCAGGGAGCTGAGAGCATCCCCTGCCGCGTGCAATTGTGCTGCTGAGTGCACTTCTGCAGCTGCCATTAATTGCCCCACTGCTGACTGCACCGATGATTTTGCCCTTACAGTTCTTTGTCCCACTGATTAATGGCCCCCGTGATTAATTGCATGGGTGACGCCGCATCTGATGGCCGACAGAACTGCTGGCTGGAGCTTCCACAGACCCTTGGAGAAGCCCCGCTGTGCAGCTGGCCAGGAGGTGTGAGCTGGGCAGGGCGACACTGGGTGCAAAGCACCAGCACCACAACAAGTGACAACCCAGACCAACCTCTGCCACAGAGATGGTCGAGCCTTGGCTTTCACGGGCAGGACTTAATCCCTGGCTTTACAGCACGTGAAATCCGGGACAGCCTGAGGATAAGGCAGGTGCCACGGTGAGCTGAGGGGGCACCGCTCACTACGACCCCGGGTCCCCGTGTCCCTTGCACACCCATGCGTGCAAGCAAGGGACACCCGTGGGCACGGCCACGCGTAGACGCGAGCACCAAACGGCTTGCAGCGCTCCTGCCCGCGCGCTCGCCCCTTGCGCTCCAGCATGGCTCTGGGCACGCGGGGGACCCGGCACCCCCCGAGCAGCCCTCGTGCCCCCGCTGCTCCCCACGGCTGCCCACGCGCCGCTCCCGAAGGGGCTCAGGGCGAAGCCAGTCGGCGGTTCGGGCCCCCCCGCGCTTGCCCGGGGCGCCCCGCGGGGCAGCGAGCGAGTCCCGCGCGGCAGCGCGGAGCCCCCGCGGGTCCCGCGTGTCCCCCCACCCTCGGCGGCCGCTACCTTCGCTCGGCGGCTGCTTCCCCCGGCGGCGGCGGCGGCGGCGGCGGCGGCTCCCCGGAGCGAGCCCGGCGGCGGCGGCGGCCGCGGCCCCGCGCGGCGCGGAGGAGGAGCCGGCGCTGCGCAGCCCCGCGCATTGGCCCGCGCGGGCGCAGCCCCCGCTCTGCGCGCCCGCCCCGCGCCGGGGCCCGGAGCCGCGGGGGCTCCGCGCGGGACCCTGCCCGCCCGCCCGCGAGCGGCGGCCGCCGAGCGCGGCTGCAACGGGACCCGCTGGCTCCGTGACACTCGGACGCGCAGTACCCCAGGCCCCAGCCACGGGGGATGGCCGCAGTCCTGATGGCGCCGGGAAACTGAGGCGCGGTGCAAAGCGATCCCCCCAGCCTGCCTTACCTCGCGGCATTAACTGCCCGCAGGGCTGCTGCGCTCGTGGGCAGGACAGGCCGCAGCCGCACCGCGCGACCGACGTGCCCCTGCGTCTCCCGCATGCCGCCCTTCCCGCCGCGCCGGCCTGCGGGCCGCGCGT